GGCTGTCCCGCAGAGGGAATGCTGACATGTGAGGAGGCAGGGCCTGCTGAGACCCTGCCTGTGGGAGCCACGGTGCAGTCCCGCCACACAGAGGAGTCCCCAGGAGGCTTATTCCTGCTCAGGCATCAGGCTCAGGGGCTCGGGGCCTCCTTACCTGGCTTCCCGGGGGGCGCGACTTCTCCCCTCGAGTTCCACGCTCCTCAAAGATGAGCCTCAGCCACCTCAGGTGCCCAGGCAACTCCTTTCAGCTGCCCTGACGAGAGGGATAGTGGGGACAGGCTGGTGGCTGGGGCCGGACACAGTCAAGGCTCAGAAGACCAAGTGACTGGGAGGGCCCCTCTCTTACTGTGGGGGACCCTTCCCACTTTCTTACGCCCGCATTCAGTCTGGACCTGGTAACGGGTGTTTCTTTCCGAAAGGGAGCGTGCATGGTTCTGCAAGTCCAGCTTGGTTTCAGGCCTCATGAGAGCTGCATCTGTGCTGAGCAGGTCCTTGGGCCTGGGGGAGAAAGCCCCGGCCGCGCTGCATCCTTTGGCTAAGTGACATCTGGAGGGGCCCCTGGCTATCGTGACTTATAAAGTCACGAGGTGTCCCCTGCAGCATGACACCGCGCTCCGTGTCACCCTCACACTGCCTCCACTGCAATGGCCAGTCTGGGGATTAGGGTGTCCAAGCTTGGCCAAGGTGCCCACGCAGTGCCCACTCATCGCCACATCACCGAGGCGCCATCCTGGTGGGACAGAGGCAGGAGTGGAGGCCCAGACCACCGTTACAATCCACAGCAGCAGAGCCCGGCCCCAGCATCTGCTTCCCTGCCCCACTCCCCCGCACCAAGGGCTCCCAGTGCGTTAGGAGCAGAGACCTCCTTGGCTGCCGTGCAGACGATTGGGCAGCATTCAGGCTGATGACAGACGGGGTAACTGTGGGGAGAGGTCCCCCCGGTAAGCTCTGTGAGTCCCTGGTCACGGTGGGGACAGAGCAGCCTGGGTCCAAAGCAGTCAGGAGTACACACCACAGCACGCAGCTGGCCCTGGCAGACTCCATTGTTTTTAAAAATGTCTCCCATACTTAGAGAAAGGAATTTGACCTGCTGGGCCCCATGGATGTCCTCTCTGGTATAATGCCTCTGTCCCTTTGTCCTTTCAGCATGCCAGGCAAAGGTGGTGCACCTGGAGCAGGCCTTGCAGGACGTCAGTGCGCGTCATCAGCTGGAGAGGCAGAGAAGGAAGGTCCTGCACAACAGCCTGGTGGTGAGCGTGGGCGTTGGGGAAAACTCGGGGCCGCCCCAGGGAGAAGCCCACACGGAACACGCAGGAGCCCCTCGCAGGAGGGTGCTAGGCGGGAGGGACAGTGGGGAGGGGGACAGTGGGGCGGCCTGGCCGGAGGGCAGAGGGGCAGAGCTGTGGGGGCTATGACCTGCGTACTCTTCACCCAGGAGGTGATGGCAGCTGGAGGAGGGGTGAGGGCGCCACAGGCTGATTTAGGCTTTCGGGGTCACTCTGGCTGCTCAGTCAGGAGGCCACGATGGGGAGCAGGGGGATGACTGCAGTGTCACGGGGGCTGGCAGCCTGGGCCACGTTGGTGGCGATGCAGGAAGTGGGACCGGCTGCTGTGAGGCACGAGGAAAGAGCTGTCACGGGAAGTCGGGAGCGCGGGAATCTGCAGAGATGGGGACTGGCACGGGAAAAGCAGGGATTCTGGTGTAACTGGAGATGCCGGTGGAGACTGCCATGCCCCTTCTGTCACCAGCACCTTCCAGCCATGTCTCTCCCTGCCCATTAACAAGACCCGGAGGCTCTCGTGCTTACTTGGTCGAAGGTATGAGACCTGAGATCCCATGAAACTTAACGTAAAGTCTCAGGGTTTGATTTTACAACACGAGGATGCCAAGGTGGATGAGTGAGTTGGTGACCCTCGCTTCTGTGAGGTTTGATTTTGATGGCCGCGCTTTGGCCAGCCTTTCCGAATTCCACCTGCCCGAGGCCCACGAAGCCGGTGTCCCTGCAAAGTTTCTCTCCCCTGGCCACGCTGAGAGGTTCTCCAGCCGTTAGATGTGTCAAAGAATAATTCTCATTTTAAGCATCTACTTATGTAGTTCAGTGCTGCGAACATTGATATAAGAGGGCATTTATTGAGTGCTTCCTGTGTACCAAGTACTTTTGAAAGCATTTTAGTGTATTTCTTACTTAATCTTCACTATAGCACCACCTCTCTGGGTTGTGATAAAGACAAAGGGAGATATCAGGGAAGCACCTAGCACTTCAGAAAGTCTCACTACGCTGCAGCTTTTTTTTTAATCTGGAGTGTGAAAAGGACAAAATGAACCTTCCTAAGACGGAGGCAAGTCCCACAGGGAAGAAGCGGTTGTGGAAGGTTCTGAGCGTTCCACCTCAAGCCTGGGTCTCCTGGTCTAGACGACGCGCGTGCAGTGTGTGGCCCGTGGAGAACGTGCAAGCAGAGGCTGATCCCAGCTTCTGTGGGTTCACAGAGACCAGACGGAGGCTGTAAATCATTGGCCTATGACACTCACTCGGTTTTCAAACTGTAGAAGGAGCTGCTCAGCACAACAGGCTGAATAAACTCGCTGTGAATCCAAGACAAGATTTCAGAATGGATTCGGCAAGTGTCTGGGCACATACAGTAAAGATGTGTTGCTCACTGGAAACCAGTGGAGTTTATGAGAATAAAGAGTTTCTAATTTCCTTCCAGTCATTAAATCAAAGAAATATGGCAGATATTGAATTTCCAGAATCCCCCCTAAAATGCCTAAAAGGTTGAGCCCAGAATACCATTCAAAG